AATTCTAAACATATGCAAACAGGACACAATTATTCCCAGCAAATAAATTATTAACCCTTTAACTCCCACATCAAATTTGTAATTCTCCTTACTCCCAATCTTACAATTCTTATAATGTTAGTTCAGAGAATTCAGTATTGGATCAACTTATTATCCCCAAATTTATATTTTTCTTTACTCTCATCACTTATCTGGTTGATATTGTGTTGATATTGTAAGGAGAAATTCTGTCTTGGTCACTCATGGCAATTAAAGGGTTAATAAAGATTGACAAAATGAAGGCAAGTTTCAAAAATGAGAGAAAAAAAGAGCAGCAAGTCCTCCTACCTTGTATAGAATTTCCTGGGTTTGAGAAAATAACCCTTGAATCAGGGATAAAGTCAGAAAGTCTGAAAAAAGCAGCAGAACAACACTGAGTTGCTATAAATCAGTTATGAAAGACAATGAAAGTCACAAAGAAGGGCACTAACAGGTGCCCCAAGGTTATCAGTGGTATTAACCACAACATTATATAATATCAAATTAATTTCATATTATCAGCTGAGTTGATAATGTAAATTCACCACTGTGATGAGTTTAAAAGCTGACAATTCCTTTGTCAGCCCAATTGCTCTGATGAAAAGGCTAACACTCAAAATGTCATCTTTTTAAACCTTATGAACTCAATTGATAATACTAAATTATCCTGGCATACTCTCCCACTGAGGCAGCACCACAGTTTCTTTAGAAACGTACCCCCTTTATTTATAATATTAGCGGTGAACTGTAATCTGGAGAGCTTTGATAATTCATAAATTACATACTAGGCTTCCCTCCTCAGGGAACATCACTCTAGCTCATTAACTGTTCAAGGAGAGCTAAGAAACAATAGCTTAGAATTCTAAACATATGCAAACAGGACACAATTATTCCCAGCAAATAAATTATTAACCCTTTAACTCCCACATCAAATTTGTAATTCTCCTTACTCCCAACCATACAATTCTTATAATGTTAGTTCGGAGAATTTAGTATTGAATCAACTTATTATCCCCAAATTTATACATTTCTTTACTCTCATCACTTATCTGGTTGATATTCCGTTGACATTGTAAGGAGAAATTCTGTCTTGGTCACTCATGGCAATTAAAGGGTTAATACAGATTGACAAAATGAAGGCAAGTTTCAAAAATGAGAGAAAAAAAGAGCAGCAAGTCCTCCTACCTTGTATAGAGTTTCCTGGGTCCTAGAAAATAACCCTTCAATCAGGGATAAAGTCAGAAAGTCTGAAAAGGGAAGCAGCAGAACAACAGTTACTAAATATCAGTTATGAAAGACAAAGACAGTCACAAATAAGGGCACGAACAGGTGCCTAAAGTTGTAAGTGGTATTAACCGCATCATTTTATAATTATATCCAAGTAATTTCATATTATCAGCTGAGTTAATTGATAATGTAAATTTGCTACTGTGACGAGTTTAAAAGCTGACAATTTGTTGCTCTGATAATGGGCTAACACTCAAAATGTCATATGTCATCTTTTTAAACCTTATCAACTCAGTTGATAATACTAAATTATCCTGGTTTACTCTCCCACGAAGGCAGCACCAGTTTCTTTAGAAACTTACCCCCTTTATTCATTTATAATTATCACAATTCAACTGGAATTAAAAAAAAACAACAACAACAACAACAACAAAAACCACCATGATTCACAAAGGCTGACCAAATGTGACCCTCCATATGATTTCAGGGACAAAGGTGATAACACACACACAACACACCAACACATCATGCAAAATGCCCATTGTTCTCATGACATTTACTAACAGTAGTGAAAAATATATAGATCTGTAATATTAGCAGTGAACTGTGCTCTGGAGAACTTTGATTGGTCATAGATTATGCAGGCTGTCCTCCTCAGGGAATATCACTCTAGCTCATTAACTGTTCAGGCGGAGCTAAGAAACAACAGCTTAATAGAAAGTTATTGTTTATTAGATATTGTTATAAAAAATCACTCATTCATGCTTGTGTTACAAGCTGGAAGAGCATTCAATTTTAAAACCTTTCATTATACATATTCATCTCTTTCTACACCTTACTCAATAAACACTTCGGTTCTATCATTAACCATATATAAGATTCTATTTTCATCAGTAAAATCCACCTGCACAATTTTTCTATGATTGTAAGGACATAATAAAGTCTTAAAAGTCACTTTGACACCTGTTTCTTTAAAATAAAATGTGCCATCATGATTCCGAGAATCACGAGGGCAATTCCATGTTACAGACATTACATTCAGAGACCAATTTTTTGGAACCTAATTTCCTTAAAAAACTTATTTTGCACAGTTTTCAATGTATAATTTGTACAAACATTTCACACAGCTAGGGTACATGACCATCAGCAGAAAAGCAACTTTCCTTTCTTTGACAAAGGCTTCTAAAATTTTTGGGTTAAAAAATCAACCTACAATTTTTTGTGTTCACTCGACACTTTTTTCCATGTGAATTGACTATTCAGACAAAAATTATTTTAAAATAATAGGAACAAAGCTGCTTCATTAGCTTTTTAAAAATCTAGTTGTATCCCTTATTCTGTAGTTAGATTTGAGCTTGAGCTAAAAACTTCCTGTTGTGGACATAACACAATTTTTGTTACAGACATTACACTGTGGAACCTTTTTTTAACACTGGTGAGAAAGAATAGTTTTGTTTATCTATGAGCTTTTTATAATTGGCTTTGTCAGAACTGATAAATTTATCTTAATCAGGCCCAATTACAAGTTAACCCTTTAACTCCCAGAGGTGATTAATGTAAAACTTCTCCCTACAAATCCATACATTATTCAGGAAACAGGTGATGAGAATATTCAAACTTATCAGGTAGAAGCTGCTATCTTCATCTAGCACCAAGTTCTCATAACTAATTTACAAGGAAATGTGTAGCAGCTAGAGGGGAGAATTAACAATTAGATCTTGGGAGTTAAAGGTTAATTCTCTTTTCTGGTTGTGCTGATAACCAAAGCATTAATATCACACTTGGGTGTACATGTAACTGTGGTAGGTGGAGTATCCCATATGGAGCATGCTCCTTACAATTCCATTTTATTGAGCATGCTCTAACTAGTGTTTCTGCTGTCTTTTGGTTCTTGCTTTCTGAGATGCAGTACAGGTTTCTAGTGTGACAACAAGTTTTACATTGGAAGAGCCCTTAGGGTTACTGATAATGAGGTTGAAATCAAATTTCTTCACCAAGTTTTGAAAACATTTAACTGGCCTCTGAGGAGCAATATTGATATTGTCCACAAGAGAAGAGTCTACTGTGGCTCCAAAGAGCTGAAAGGCACTGGACCTTTCAATATTCCAAGTCTTTCATATATTGAGAGGATTTTTAAATATCTTTGAAAATAAAATGTTTGCAAATAAATGATCAAATTAACTGCAGATTGCAGAAGTTAAACACTGCTTTAATAACTAAACTTAGATTGTTCTGATCTTTTTGTAAGAGTACTATTCATTGACTCTTAGTAAGCCAGTTGCACTTGCTCTCATTTACAAAGTACATCCATTTTGGAAAAAATCCTATCTGCAAGTTCTTCTATGTGTTGAGTTCTGTTAGTTTTGTTGTTCTGGTGAGACTTAAGGAATACAATTGTGTCTTACTGAAATCATTTTAAACCTTTCAGCGTGCCAGCTATTTTCATACACTTTTCATTGGACAAAAATAAACAGCCTTTCTTGGCCATTTCCCACAAAGTCATCTTTCAGATTACTATTTTTTAAACAATTTAGGGTCTCTTAATCCACAACATTTTGGATTGTTTACATGATCTTTGTGATTCATCCAGCATTGGGTTAGATTTTGTGCTTCGACATGCTACAAACATCATCAAAAGTAACCTAGCTCTCCACATGAAAAAAATAATTTATGCAAAAATCCATGATTGGGCTAGATATGAAATAATTTATTTTAAATTTCACTATTGAGGCAGTTGTAAAATAGAATAGGTCATGATGGTTTTGGTTATTTTTATCATCCTGTAAAAATTGCTCTTGCCATCCGGTGAAATATACTTTTACACAAATGTTTTGGCCGTCAATGGCTTTATGTAATGGCAATTTATGAATATCTTGAATGTGTTGGATTGTTTACGTGATCTTCATGATTCATCCAGCATTGGGTTAGATTTTGTGCTTTGACATGCTACAAACATCATCAGAAGTAACCTCTCCACATGAAAAAAATAATTTACACAAAATCAACATGGTAGCTGCTAATTGCCAAAGGGTACCTTGAAGGACTTAAGTTAGGTTTAACTTGGCAAAACCTATGATAGACAGTTTGCAAGAATGTACTAATTTCCCAAGACATGCAAGTGTGGGGTGATTATGTACTTTGTCAAGGATGGAACCAGATTTCTGCACAAGATCTTCCATATTCCTGTTTTAGGAGGGGAGCTTAAACTTTGATTTTATATACATTTATAAGTCTTAATCAGTGACCAAATTACCACCCAACACAGGAACCAAAGAGATGACTCAATCAGCATAAAATTGAGTCTCTCAAATGTTAATATTCATAAGTCAACATACAGTTAAAGCACTCCACAAACCTAGCTGTACACAGTAATTCAACCAGCAGTATATTAAAAGGACCACCAGAATTTCAGCAACATTTTCTAAGAGTATTTCCACATGTTTGTAGCCAAACATAATCACAACCATCGATCACAACATAATTAAATAGGTAAGTAATATAATGCATAGTTCTTGACATAACATTACCAGAAAAAATAATTGATACTACATGGATATGAGTGAAATAAAAGCATGCAGAATTCTAAACATATGCAAACAGGACAAAATTATTCCCTGCAAATAAATTATTAAGTAAACCCTTTAACTCTCACATCAAATTTGTAATTCTCCTTACTCCAAACCATACAATTCTTATAAGGTTAGTTCAGAGAATTTACAGTAATATTGGATCAACTAATCATCCCCAAATTTATACATTTCTTTACTCTCATCACTTCTCTGGTTGATATTGTGTTGATATTGTAAGGAGAAATTCTGTCTTGGTCACTCATGACAATTAAAGGGTTAATACAGATTGACAAAATGAAGGCAAGTTTCAAAAATGAGAGAAAAAAAGAGCAGCAAGTCCTCCTACCTTGTATAGAGTTTCCTGGGTTCAAGAAAATAACCCTTGAATCAGGGATAAAGTCAGAAAGTCTGAAAAGACAAGCAGCAGAACAACAGTTACTATATATCAGTTATGAAAGACAATGACAGTCACAAATAAGGGCACTAACAGGTGCCCCAAGGTTATAAGTGGTATTAACGGCAACATTATATAATTGTATCAAAGTACTTTCTCATTGTCAGCCAAGTTGATAAATAAATGTAAATTCGCCTCTGCAATGAGGTTAAAAGCTGACAATTTGTTTGCTCTGACAAAGGGCTAACACTCAAAATGTCATCTTTTTAAACCTTATCAACTCAACTGATAATACTAAATTATCCTGTTATACTCTCCCACCAAGGCAGTACCACAGTTTCCTTATAAACTTATACCCCCTTTATTCATTTATAATTATCAAAAGTCAACTAGAATTAAAAACAACAACAAACAACAACAACAACAAAAACAACAACAAAAACCTCCATGATTCACAAAGGCTGACCAAATGTGACCCTCCATATGATTTCAGGGACAAAGATGAGAACACACACACAACACATCAACACATTGTGCAGATTGCATAACTTTAAAATCTAGTTGTATTCCTTATTCTGTATTTAGATTTTGTGTTTGAGGTAAAAACTTCCTGTTATGGACATTACACAATTTTTGTTACGGACATTACGCTGTGGAACTTTTTCTTACACTGGTAAGAATAAGGGAATATTTTTATTTATTTAATATGAACTTTTGATAATTGACTTTGTCAGAACTGATAAATTTATCTTAATCAGGCCCAATTACAAGTTAATTCTCTTTTTTGGTTCAGCTGATAATCATAACATCAATACTAAACTTAGGTGTACATGTAATGGTGGTATCTAGTATTCCATAAAGAGCATGCTCCTTACGATTCAGTTTTAATGAGCATGCTCTAACTAGTGTTTCTGCTGTCTTTTGGTTCTTGCTTTCTGGTGCAGATTTCTAGTGTGACACCAAGTTTTACATTGGAAGAGCCCTTAGGGTTACTGATAATGAGGTTGAAATCAAATTTCTTCACCAAGTTGTCAAAACATTTAACTGGCCTCTGAGAAGCAATATTGATATTGTCCACAAGAGAAGAGTCTTCTATGACTCCAAAGAGCTTAAAGGCACTGGATGTTTCCATGTTCCAAGTCTTTCATATATCAAGAGGCTTTTTAAATATCTTCAAAAAGAAAATGTTTTCAAATAAATAATCAAACTAGCTGCAGATTGCAGTAGTTAAACACTGCTTTAATTACAAAACTTGGATTGTTCTGAACTTTTTGTAAGAGTACTATTCATTGACTGTTAATAAGCCAGTTGATACTATTTTGGAAAGTTACACTGCACTGAACTGCATGAATTGACAACTTTCTCTATAGTATTATCAGTGCAATGGCCTTTGAAAGTTGAAGTATTGCTTGTTTTAAGCTACATTTCTGAAACATTGCATGCTATATTTTAATTTGTTATCTTCAGATATTATAAAAGAAGGTGCTGACTCTAAATATACATGTATGTCTCAGAAAACTTAATTCACACTTGGACTCACACTTTTTGAAAATTTATACTCCTCATGTCAGCGTGGTGTTACTTCTCCTAATCAATGTACAGTTGTTGTTATGGTTATTGTTAATGGTGTTTAGTTAAAAGCACTGAAAACTTGGATGTGATAAATTTGAACAAAATTGGTATGCATGTAGCATTTATTTCTCCAAAGAGAATTACCATAATTAAAGTCATGCAGTCATAATGTCCATAATATAATATGTCTATAATGTGATGTCTGTAATGTAATGTCTTTAATATGATTTCCATTACATGAAGTGGGCTTTATGTTTTCATGTGTTTTCCAGGATTTCGATAATTTACAACACTCAAGTTTAGGCCCCTAGAAAGTAAAAAAGGAGCCAGGCTGACAAAAAAAAATGGTTTATAATTTCAGAGAAAACAAAAAAAGAGGACTGGTTTTATTATGGACATTATGTAATATCCATAACAAAATAATGTTACTTGCTCTCATTTACACATACAAAGTACACCCATTTTGGAAAAAATCTTATCCACAAGGTCTTCCTTGTGTTGAGTTCTGTTAGTTTTGTTCCACTGGTGAGATTTAATGAATACATGTGTCTTACTTAAATCATTTTAAACCTTTCAGCGTGCCAGCCATTTTCACACACTTTTCATTGGACAAAAATAAACAGCCTCTCTTAGCCATTTTCCACAAAGTCAACTTTCAGATTACTATTTTTTAAACAATTAAGGGTCTCCTTAATCTAAAAATCCATGATTGGGCTAGATATGAAATATTTTAAATTTCATCATTTAAGCAGTTGTAAAATGGTATGGGCCATGATGATTTTCATTATTTTTACCATCCCCTAAAAATCCCTCTGGCCATCCAATGAAATATACTTTTACACAAACATTTTGGCTGTATATAACTGTGATTTATGAATATCTTGAACATAATGGATTGTTTACATGTAATTGTCACAATTCATCCAGCACTGAGTTAGATTTTGTGCTTCAATATGCTACAAACATCATCAAAAGTAACCTCCACATGAAAAAAAGTAATTGAAGTGTCTGCTTTAAATCCTAATGCAACTCATACACAGCCAAATGTTCCAACTTTGTTTTTGCTAATCAAGAAGTTGATAATTATAAACATGGATGTTTTCAAGTAGAAGCGTGTTGTGAGCTTAAGCTTGCTATCACCTTTCTCCCAAAAATCATATGGATGGTCACAAATACAGAACCTTGCATAAGAGCAAGCAGTTGCATCCTATACTGGTCATTACACCTGTAACAACCAAAGCAACTTTCTAATCATTAGATGCATTTCAGCTGCAAGGTCCAACATAATAAGACATGATGTCAAACACTATTGAAGGATGACAACATTCAATTTATACTCCTGAGCGTAAATTCAAAGGATCGAACCACTGGTTAAAGATTGATGCAAATTTAATTAGTGGCCTATCTTGCTACTTTAACATTATGTTTCATATTCAAAGCAAACTGATATTCATGAAAAAAAGAGAATAGCCCATAATAACATAAACATTTTTCATTCCCATGAGAATAAGACACAAAAAATCCTTACATATATGTCTTATATTAAAGAGGGAAAAATGGAAAAAAATAACATATATACCTACCCTGTTAAGATTTCCTGCCTTCAAAAAATCACAATATGAGCAGTCAGAAAATGATGGATATGTAATAATTTCTGAAAAAGAAAAACATAAAATAAATATTAATCAAATGTGAGAGATATTGACAGTCACAAAAATTCCATTTAAGGTGCTATATTTATTCCTTTAACTCCCATGAGTGACCAACACCAAATTTCTCCTTACAATCAACCAAATAAATGACAAGAATTAAGAAAAATTTCAATTCAGGGATAATTAGTTGATCCAATACTAAATCCTCTGAACTAACATTATAAGAATTGTATAACTGACAGTAAGGAGAATTACAAATTGGATCTGGGAGTTAAAGGGTTAAGGCAGTAATTGTTGCTATTGAACAATAAAATGAACTGAAGAAAGCTTTAGGACAATCTGAAAGACATAGATGACATAAGGCTGTTTCACTCGATCATGCTCAAAAGGGGTTGTTGGAAAATAATTGAACTCCAGAGGAATCCTACAATGGTAAAACCTTCAGATATTTCAATTCATGGATACTGCATGTGTTTGCTATTTTTAGAACACAGCAAGTTGAACCAGGAACTGAGGATAATATATAAATATAATATATAATATGTAAATATTTCATTCAACAAATTGCCAAGGAAAACTTCAATAGTTTTTGGGAAACTTAGCTTTGAATTGGCTGTTGCACAATTTAACATCTTCAGACTATTCAGTGGTTCCTGTTACTGGTAAAGTAAAGCTATATGCTAAGGCACAAAGAAAGATTGCTTTGGGATTAGAGTTCAAATGCTCAATAGCCTCTTCAGTGCACACTGAACCTCATTTGTCATTTTCTTTCCATCCCATCCTACTCAATGGTTATTTGTTATGGAAATCTTCCCTATCTTTTGGGTTTTCTGTATAAGAAAGCCTCTCTGTTAATATTATGTTTTAGCACTATTAGATTTATCAGCTTACATGCATCAAATAAGAGTCACATTTTGTGGAAAATAAGTTAATCATATAAAGACTGCATGATTTGTCCCAAACATTACTTGTAGTCAAATGTCCTATGGTTTATCAGATTGAATTGAAAGGCACAATAATTTTGTTGAAAAAATATCATCGATAAATAATGCCTAACTCGAGTTCTCGGAAAACATCTCATTGAATTAGAGAAGGCAAGTCATTCTCTAGCACTGGAAAATGAACTGTGAGTAAAGGCTTTCGCTTTCAGTTTCCTGTCGCCTTCGAAAATAGCAACTTCCGCCTAGACTGATACGTATGTATTGCGTGTTCCAATCTTCACTAAAGCATTTCCCTGTCCCTTTCATCTAGATCAGAAACGACTGCTGGAAGTAAAACAGCTGGTCTGAGTCCAAAACAGACCCTTGCTAAAGTATGAAATTCAAATAAAGTGACCTTTTAGTGCGTATCAATTCATAATTCATGAATCTACTTACCTCTCAGAATGGTGATTTAAACGAAATAATTACAACCGGGGTACGTGAAGAGGCTACGCAATCGTCCTGAAAAGAGAAAAAAAGTAGCTTATTTATCAAGTATATCTTCACCACACGCTTATTTCCAAAGGCTTGTGTTAAAATTTTCGTAATCATACGCATTTACGCGAGTGAAATACCGTAAGTCAACAACGGGTTATTGAAGTAAAAGTTAAAGTTACGGAGTGAATAACTTTACTATTTCGTCTGTACCTGCTCTTTCTTCTGGTCAACTCTTCTCGTGGACAGCAATGTGAGTTTAAACCGATTCGTTTCCTTGTTTCCTGATCTTCCGTCGAGAGAACGAAGAAAGTCATAAAATGTAGGTATTCTAACAGACTCAGAGAAGGGAGTTGTTCATGACATGCGCAGATAACATTATTCTCAAATGAAATATAACACCTAAAATCGAGTAACACCGTGACTATCACGCAATGAAACTAACTTTGCAATGCGTTTCTCGGCCTCAGGAAGAAAAATCGTTCAAAAAAAATTACAACGGTATTCTTTTAAGGTTCACATGAGCAATAAGCAACTTTTTTTTTCTCCTAAAGCTGGAGACGAGTTTTCGTTAGAGTTGCTTCCACACAACAACGCGTGATTCACTTCATACCACCTCTCACTACAGGTCACGCATCTTAACGAGGCACGCACGGCAGATTTCAAATAGCATCTTATCACCAAAACTACTGACGAGTGATGCGTTCGTCTTCTTATGTCTTCAAAATTTTTAAAGGCCGGAATCCCCCCCCCCCCCCACCCCTTAAAAACACGGCCAGAAACTCTCACCTTCGACGCTCAATGCTTAATCCCAATCAAAACCTCCCTCCTTCTGATTACTAATTGTTGGAGTCTGATCAGCAAAGCTAAACTGTAAACCAAGCCTTTAAGTCTGTTCCTTTGGCGTCTCCATCATCAACCCGTCCAAAGACTAGCTAGGCGAGAAGGACTGACCTAGATGGACCTGATCAGAATATTATACGCAATCAACACATGGACAGAGAGTCGGATGGTCCTGCGAGGATTAAAGAAAGGAACTTTGCGACTGATTTAAATTACAGGATAAATGCTCTCAAATATATTTTTAAGCTGACGCTTACAAAGGAAAAGCATAAAAATTTTAAAATAAATACTTCAGAAAGCTCTACTAAAATATTATTGACCTTGTTCCTATAACTTGCAATTTATCTGTGCAAGCTCAAATAGTGAAGATAAAATCTGAATTGAACCCAGAGTCAAACACTCAGAAAGACTAGCTTCATGTTGTAGGGTGCCGCTCATTATTTATCGCCTATGGGGGGGCTGGAGGATTTTGGTTGTGTCACGACTTAATTTACCTGCTTCCCCCATAATATACTTATGTCTCCTCATTGACAGTCAATTGGCGGTCAGTTTTCTATAGTCCCCCTTAAAGATAAAGATAAAATCTGAATTGAACCCAGAGTCAAACACTCAGAAAGACTAGCTTCATGTTGTAGGGTGCCGCTCATTATTTATCGCCTATGGGGGGGCTGGAGGATTTTGGTTGTGTCACGACTTAATTTACCTGCTTCCCCCATAATATACTTATGTCTCCTCATTGACAGTCAATTGGCGGTCAGTTTTCTATAGTCCCCCTTAAAACTCTGTTCGCGGCAACTGATCAGCCTCCGTTCATTGAAAACCATTGAAATCCCATCCCCATCTCCCTCCCCCCTCAAAAAAAAAAAGAAAGATGAATCGTCCCTCCCCGGTGATAAATTAAGTGTCTGGTCTCTAAAACTCTTCACATAACTCAGTTTTGTTAGTCTTTGAAAAAATTCACTCGTGCTTATTTATTCCAAATTGAACTCGAAATCATGTGATTAACTCTACAAATTCAAATTGGTTAGCGTCTAGTTTACTTTGATGGCCTCAGCAATAGATGTAGCTCCAGCATCACGAATACTATTGCTACACAAATTCAAATTGGTTAGCTTCTTGTTGAATTTGATTACCTCAGCAATAGATGTAGCGCCGGCTTCACTCATACCATTGTCAGACAAATCCAGATTGATTAGCGTCTTGTTGACTTGTCTTGTTGGCCTCAGCAATAGATGTAACACCGGCACCACCAATACCATTATAATACAAATTCAAATTGGTTTTGAATCTAAGCACAAATGAAGAATGCTGCAAATAATTCTTGAAAACTTTTATGTAAGAAATCCAAATTCAGTCAACTCTTTTGCATGGTTTCCCAATTCACTTTCATTCAAATCCAATTTGCCGTTAAGTAAACCATTCAACGCTACCAACCCGAGGCGATTAAATTGCGGTTTCTAAAGATCTGTCAGGTCTTCTTCCTTTTCAAATAGTCCCTTATTTTTCTGCATCTTCTCAAGACACATTCAACCATATCCAAGTACAGTTGAGCTAAATCGTGCCTTTCCTTAAAGTAATTGGTGACAGATCCTTTTATATGCGGAATTTGAGTGAATCCTTCGATCTGAAGCAACGCGTCACAACATTTTCTCACCTCTTTTCCAGTTTCGTGTCTTGCTGTTGCAACTATGTGGCATCTGGGGAGTATTCTTCCTTCAATTAATTCAGAAAAATCGACAATTTACCGGATGATAACTCATCCAATCCATCCAATATCAATAAAATGATATTGTGATTTGACTTCTTCATCGATTACTCGGGGCAGAAGTTGCTCATCAATGGCTTCCCAAACATCAGAATGCCATGCTTTGAATGCTGTGGAGCCACGACCTTGAGGTACTTGCTTTTTGGTGGCCCAGTCGTAGGCGTACTTTTTTACAGTAGGTGGTTTTTCTCATACCAGGTTCTCCTTCAATCAACACTGTTCTCGGCGCTGAACGCTCTTCCTACGGGTCTAGTATTGACGACATGTCAACAAATACGTTACTGATTTCTCCTCTCGTTTTCTTTCTTCTGACCGCTTTAAGCCTTGTAAAAGTATTGCCAAGAAAAAACGGAAACTCTTCCCACCATGGAAATGGTGAGAGCCATCCCTCGCGAGTCTTGTACAGCTGGCGAATTCCATTGATAAGCTCAGTTGGATCAAAAATACCTAGCAGTAGTAAAATGAATAAGAAATCTAACGAATGCAGCATTGCGAGCAAGAATCTCATATCAATAATCATTTTTACCTTATAAAATATTGATCCCGTACAGGAGTTTCCTGGAAATAACCGTCCTTATACTTTTACCACTGATATTCTAGTTGTCGAATTCCCGATCAGGAAAATAATTCTTAAATTTTCATTTAGCACGTTCGACACCTCTTTTCTTGGAGGTGACTTAGGGTGTCAACAAGTAGTACTTTTCATCCTCCGCACTGAATTTATAATCAGGTAACTTATACGAACAGCACGTAGCTCTTTTAGGGGCGGTACCTTGGGCACGCCCTTTCTTCTCCGAATTTCCTGTTTATTCTGCTGTTATGTAACAGTCTTCGAGGACTATTTTCTCTTAAGATCCTCAATTATGATTCTAATTCTGTCAGTGAGTTCATTTTAACTTTTATATTACCAATCTTGTTTTAGTTATGACCAAACTTGACCGCAAGAGTCAGAAATTTAAGGTAGAAAATGATTTTGTAAAGCGTAAACATCTCGAAGGTACCTACTTAGTATGTGAGCTCCGTTCTGTGTAGCTTAACGTGATTCGCTAATTAAGTGTAAAAGGATGACGAAGGTTAGAGATTGATAGCTCAGTAAGCGTCACCTTTTAAGCGGTGACCCCCACTTTCCTTACGAGATCTGAGCTAGTTCCCGTGATAGTAACTTGTGTAGAAAAAGGAGAGAATAAAGAAATAGCCAACAGAACGAGTGATAGAAAAACATCTAACAATATCGTTTGCGCACTTTTAAGGAACAGGCTCACCTGCTCGTATGAAAATAACACTTCTAAGTTCTTTCGGTGTAACCCCCAAAACCTTTTTCCTACTTTGCATAATACTATGCTTTTTTAAACTGAACACAAAGAGAGTATAATTGTGAGCACTAAAATAATTTATCCATTTAAGATATATCTTGAATGGTGTAAACCACTGAACAAATTTCTAGCAAAATAGGTGGAAATCATAATTGCAGAACCCAACAGAATTTATTCCTACTTTAAAAAAACAGAAAATGTAAAATGACATTTAACAAACAATATCATTAACTTGAAGCTGCAATAAATTTACAAGGAAGAGTAAATCAATGCAATGTCATCTCTGTCGGGGAACTAGTTAGTTATGACTTTTTCGCAAGTCTTTCTAACAACACCATCATAGCCTGTGTTTGTTGTTGCTGTTTCTGCAAAAAAGCCATTTGAAGTGTTTGCATCTGATCTTGTCGTTAAGCCATGTTTGCAATCATAGCCTCCTGGGTTTTAAACATTTGCGCTTGCTTCTCTTTTTCGTTTTCAACTTCTCTTGCGTACAAGGCGAGCTCCTCTTCACGGATCTTAACCTACTTTTCTGACTTTTCCCGTGGAAATTCAGTAACATCAGCTCCGCTTCTTTGCTGCCTTTTCGCTTTTCTTTCACAGTCTTCATTGGCCTTTCTTTTAGTTTCACCAAGTCTTTCCAAGGCTTGGGAACGCATCTCGGTTTTTTTGCGATCTGTTTCTACGCTCTTGCTGCTACAAGATTCTCTCGTTAATTCTGTTAGTTTCTCTCTCAGAAGTTTACTCTAACAGAACGGCGAACTTTGTTGGTTCGGGAGATGCACCACTTGCTTTTGCTTCCTCTCTACTTTGCTGTCGACATCTTCCGAGTAGCAAGTCAAATCTCTCTCTCACCACCCTTTGATTTAATTTGAGTTTGACTGCAGTCACACTGTTGAGGTTTTCGGAAATTTGCGTCCAAATTCTTCCGCTTTCATTGCTTCCTTTCTTGAACTTGTAAAACTTTTGTACCAAAATTTCTTTGCACAGCAACACGTCGTGCGCTGTTGTCCACTAAATTGGCTTGTTGTAAAAATCAAAATTAGCGGAAGTAAATGAACTTTCTAATAACTTGTTATCAGTACCCACAAACTTAGTGCCGGAAAAGTAAA